AAAGACACCAGCCGGGGACCACGATTCCAGCTTCAGACCACACCTGCAGCAGCTTTTCTTGGACCTCTTATTTTGGTAGGGAGACCTGGGAACTCCCCAGAGAGGAAAGGCCCCAACAAAAATGCCCCTCATTCCTGTCCTCTGGCTACTGCCCCAGACACTGGGAGAGAGAAGTGCCCGTCAGAGGACAGGGGGTGCTACCTGTCCAACTCTGCGAGAGCCTGCAGCACATCCCCACGCTCTCGCACATTATTTATGCTCACAGCCCGCTCTGATGACATATGTAAGTTGACAGCGAACATCCTATCAACTTGCCGGAGTGTATCTTGATTGTTAAAACACACTCTTAAAGGTGTATGATCATTTATCAAATTAAAATAGCTGCGCCTTGCCTGCCCCTGTTCTGCTTTCCTTGACACCCCCCTTCCCCCCACCCACCACAGCCGCCTCCTTCTCCAGCCTCCTGTGCATCCAGCTCTTGCACCCGGGCCCTGTTCCTCAGGGAACACAGCCTCTCCTTCCAGGACCCCAGCCCCGGCACCCCTCCCCACCCCACTCCAGGCCAGGGCAAGCCCACTAATCGCCAAGAAGTGACAAACACCAGAAGCCCCACCAATTAAATTTAAACTCATGCAAAGCTCAGTGGCTAGTAAATTATTATTTTTATTAGCTTGAACCAAGTTCCCGTAAGAGAGAAAGTCAACTTGCTCCCATGAATGGCTCTTGTATAATTTATTTAACTCTGTGCTCTTTGCCAAAGCCTGGAATATTTTTAGCTTGTTCTGTCGTTGGATTTGGCTTTTTTATGTGTGTTTCTTAGGGGTATTTTTAGCCTCATCCATGTTATTCTAACAGCCTCCTATGCGTTCTGTCCTGTCAGTGAGGGCTGTTGACCCAGTCTCGCAGCAGAGGAGGGCGATTTCTAAGAATAACGGGCAGCGTTTGGGGATGCGCATATTTTCCAGGGGAGATGCTTAATGCACACAAGGCCACTCCCTGCCTGTCTCGCCAATTTGCCTTACTACTCATGTGACCTGGATATCCCTATAGGAATATCCTTACAGGAATGATCAGATATGGAGGCCGCACAAACCCCAATGAGAAAAAACCCACATTCCAAAAATGGCTTCAGTGGGGCAGGCGAGGTGGCCACCGCAGCCTGCTGGCCAGTCTACGTGGCCACCCGGCCACCGGATTCCCAGGGTTCCTCAGCACGGAGGTGGCTTTGATGTCTGGTTCTGTCTCTTCCAGAGCAGAATGCATAGAGTCCTTGGAAAGTAACTCTTTTCACACCTACTTAATGCTGGTAACTGTTGCAGAAACACTCTATGGTGTCATTGAGCTAATGAGGTATTTACGAAAATGCATTTTTTTCTTTACAAAAAAATATCACATGACCAGGGAAGGGGAACCTTTGATGGGGTCTTTTCACACTAGGAAATTATCTTTTTTCCTTTACCAAGTTTTTTTTTTCTTCTTTTTGAGATTGGAGATCAGAAGCACTGTTAACAGGAAATAAGTTTGCTGTTCTCCCGCCGGAAGGGACCTGCCACTCTGTTTGCTGCCAACACCCCCGGGCCCAGGACACTCAGCTGCCAGGCCACGCCATTTACACCCCGAAGGAGACAAGAGGCAGCGAGAGGAGCCCACCCGCAGCCTGCCGCACTGCTGAAACCCAGGCCAGAATCGGCACCTCCACCTCCCTTCCGTGGGGACCCGGTGACTCTGAGATTTGGCCCGCGGAGGGGGCTGCGCAGAGGGCGGGGCTGCGCAGAGGGCGGAGGGCAGAAGCTGACCGGCCGGAAGAGGGGGCGGGGACGGGCCTCTCTCCGGCTGGGCTGCCGCCTTATTAAATGCGCTCCAGGGGAGGCGCGATCCCCAATCGCTCCAGGCAGTGTGCTGAAGAAAAATCTTGGGTTGATGCGTTGTTGATTTTCCATCCCCCCCCCCTAGATTTCACAGCTTTGCCTCCGGACCATCTGTATTAGAGACAAAATCTAACACTGCACTAAAAATAATGATTCCAAACATTTTAATTGCACCTTTTGGTGACAAGGTTACTGGAACAGCACTTTACCATAAAGCCCTACAGCCGATGGTAAAGCTACCGGCACTTTCATTTCTAGAAAAACAATGGAAGCTCTGGAGCCCTACGTCCCATCAGGGAACCTCAGGCTGACATTTGAAAGCGGAGTGTGGACAAGGACGGACCGTGCAGGCGGCCTCCGGGGAGGGAGCCCTTTGGCCCGCACCGGGTAGCCGCGCATAGAGGAGCGGTCCCGTAAGCCAGGGGTTCCACGTCTGGTGGCTGGACCTACTCCCATGTCAGAGCCTGGCAAATGGGGAGATGCTCGGAGCAGTTTTCCTCTCAGTGGGGCCGCAGAGGAGGGAGCGGGCGGCAGGCCGGATTGCTGCAGCAGAGGCCTGCAGACCGAGGCTATCCGCAGAAATGGGAAGGAAGTCCGCCAAACTGGCCATTTGGAAATCCGCACATGAGAGGCAAAAAAAAAAAAATCTTTTTTGACTTAATTCAATTTTTTCTTTCTAAGCCAGATCATATATAGATACAGACCAAAGCAAAGCAATCTGGGGCAAAATTCCTTTAAAAATATTGATGTAGTTAAATTTTAAAAACCAGTATGAATATTCTGGCTTTCAGCAATTTCAAAAGGCTTTCAGTACAGATGCTTCTAGCTGGACGTCTGCTTGGCCTGGCCTTCCTGCCACAAATGGGCCGAACATCTCCAAGCACAATAGGCCTCTCAGGTCCCCCAGGGGAGTGGAAAGGCCTCCAGGAGCCTAGGACACGTGGTCCTCCAGCCCCCTGTGAGGGCCCTGGGGACCTCCAGCGCCCTCTAGAGCACTCTGCATATGGGCAAAGGCTGATAGGGTCTGGGTCAAGGAAAGGGACCAGGCCAGTGTCCACCCAATTTCTCCAAACCCTCTATAGCCTATGCTCAAGAACCACGTGGTCAAACTTGGCCTGAGCAAGACAATGGTTTGGGCCACACAGACCACATTCCCACCTGAGTTGGTGGTGCCAGCATCTGGAAGTATCTGCAGAAAGGCAAAATGGCAGCTGGCCAGGACCTAGCCAAGCTGTGAGCTGGTGAATGGGGACAGGGGAGGCAAGAGTGACCTGAACCTTCAGGGAATCCGGCCTGGCTGTGCCTCCCTATGATGGAACAGCTCCAGCTTGCCTATCCACTACTGGGAAACCTTGACGTCTGGGGCTCTTCCATACCCTCGTTTCTGTGGTCTTGCTACCTGCCAGGCCAGAGGGTATGGAACACAGGAGGGGGTGTGTGATGAACTGCTCCCTCGCCATCCCCCAACCTGAAGGCTCAGGCTCCCTGCCCTTAGCAGGGACCACCAGCCTACAGCCAGGAGAAGGGACTGGTCAGGGATGCTGTGGCACTGTCCCTGCTGCCACCATGAGCCGCTGTCTGCAGCCCCCTCACCCTCCCAGGCAGAGCTGGGCAGGCAGCATCTCCAGTGCAGGGGTAGAGAAACACTTAACCGCAGGGACAGCTGGGACAGATATTTTTAAATCACCAATTGCCCAGGCAAAGTACTTTCCCTCTTTCCAGTTATAAATCCAGAGGAGAGAAAAAGAAAGGGAAAGAAAGAAGGGCAGGCAGAGCGAAAAAGCAGTCCTGCAGGTCTGGCGCCGGAAACACCGCGGTGCCGGGCTAATTCCAGGGGCGCTGGAGGCCAGCCTGGCCTAACGGAATCTCCTCAGATTGTAAATGCTAAAAGCCTATTAGTAATTAGGCAGTTTCGTCGTTTTTTTTCTTTTTAGGAAATTTACGTTTTTCTCTTTGACTGCCCTTCCTTCTGACATTCTCTCTTCCAGCCTCACTGTGCCATCCGTTTTAATCCACACGCTAATTGTAATCCCATTAAAGCAGATATAATTTTATTAGTATTCACAGTTCATCAAGCTAGCAATAATAACTGTTACTGCCAAATTAACAGGGAAAAAAAGCGGCAAACAACATTTCTGATGTTCAGGACAAACTGTAAACAATAGCAAGCCAACCTTCAAGGGTGACCGGCAGATCCCCAGCGCAGACCCTGGCGCTTCCTGCAAACTCGGTCGGGGCTGGCCAGTGACCTCCAGGGTCTCTCGGCGAGGTAGCTGCCCCTCCGCAACCCTCCGCAACCCTCCGCCCGCGGCCTGCTTCTCCTCTGACCTCGCTCATCATTACTATCGGAGAAACCCGAGAGGCGGTCTGCCCTGGAGGCCTGGGTCCGCTCTGTCAAGGACCGGCCTCTCCCACCGCGAGGACGGGAGCGGTGGCCGCGGTCTCCGTGGTGGGTGCACTCGCCTGCACCGAAAGCCGCGCCCGCGCCCCGCCGGCGCCCGCCGCCCTCCCCCTGGGCGCGCCGCGCTTTGTCCGGCAGGAGCGGGATACCAGCGGCACTTGTCAGCGCAGGGGCAGCCCCTGCGCACCCATTCTCGCCCCGACACTACAAGGCTTTATACAGAAACAGGATTTGCCCGTCTTACACCAGCGGCCCCTGGTAACGCTCACCGCACGCACACCGCCCTAATCCGCGAGGCCGCGGCGCCCCCACCCCGTCACCACAGCCGTTTTGTTCCCGCAGAAGGTGCCTCGTGGTCCCAGCCCCGGAATGTCTCAAGGACGTGAATGCAGAATGCAGAAATGAGGGTTCCGCGGAATTCACTTCTGATGCAGGGAGGGGTGGGAGAGGGCGGCATGGGAGGAAAGGGCTTTATTTTAGCCGGCTCAGGGGCTGCCCCTCCGAGACCCCGGGGGACCCCCGGGAAGGCCGCTCTAAACCGCGGCGATCCGGCTCTGGGCGCAGGACGCGCTGCCGTCCGGCCGCCCCAGGGTCGGGTACGGGGCCGGGGCAGGGAAACGAAACCGAAGGCTTCCCCGCAAGTGCCCCGGAGGGGAGAGCGGTCGCCCGTCCGCCCCCGCCGTGCCCACCTCGAGCTGGTCCTCTCCCGCGCCCGCACGGCCGGCACTGACCTGTGTGCGAAGCCATGGGCAGCGGCGACGGGAAGTACTTTCCGGGCTGGAAGTGCGCCGGGGGCTGCGCGGCGGGCCCGGCCGGGGCGAGGCGCGCGGCTGTGGCGGCGGCGCTGCGGTGGCCCAGGCTCCCGCGCTCCGACAGCAGATGCGGCGGCGGCGCGAAGTCGCGGCCATCCATGCCGGGCCCTGGCCCCGGCCCGCCGCCGCCTCCCGGGAGCAGCGTGGCCGGGGCCCGGGGGCAGCGAGGCGCGCGGGCGGCGCGGAGGAGGCGGCGTCTGGGGTCACCGGCGGCGGCGGAGGGGCCGGTCAGCACGCCGGCGGACTGGGCTCCTCGGCGGGCGGCCGCGCGCCGAGCCGGCGGCCGCCGTGCGGGTCCATCGTCTGCGGAGGCAAGCAGAGGACACTCGGTGACTTGGAGACTCGGCTCACCCGGGGGTCCCCGCCCCGCCCGCCCCCACACCCCCGCCGGCCCGAGCGCGGCCAAGCCGGGCGGGCCGGCCCGGAGCGCTCGGCGCGCCTCCCCGCTGCACGTGCGTGTGCCGGCCCCCCGGCTCCCCGGCCCCCGCGCGCACTCGCACCGTTCCAGCGCCGCTCGGCCCCGCAGAGCCTGGGGGGCCTGGCCGCACCGCTCGCCGCCTCCCCTTGGCGTCCCCGCAGGTCCCGGAGGCGAAGGCGCCAAGGCGAGAGGCTGCTGGCTCCGCCGGGTGATAAAAACCCAAATCTGCGAAGCCATCACGCACGCACACACACACTCACACTCACGCACACCCTCTCCCCTCCCCCGCTGCCCGAAGGTGTCTCGGAGGAAAAGGCCGAGGGTCCGCGCTCGCTTTTTCCTCCCCCCATCCCGAAGTCCGGCTTTTACTGCATTCCGCTTAACCGAATAACCATGCTAATTAAGCGAGTAATTTTATTGATTGTAACCCGAGTTTTTTTTATAACCTTCCTTTTCTCCCCTCTCCCATCCCCCCCCCTGCGTCTTTTGGTCCTTTCATTTGAACCCGCCCCCCCCCCACCACCAACGGGCTGGTCCCCCACCCCCAGCACACAGCCAGGACCCAGCTCCCCGGGAGCCCCGGGCGTCCGCGTCGCCGGTGTCACCTGGGCCACCACGCCGCAGTGCCGGCCCGCCGGCCGAGCCGGGAGTGCCCCGGCGCGGCTGCAACAATCTCCCCGCCCTCCAATCGTAATCGCCCAGGGTCTTCCCCCGCGGATTGGGTGCTCTGGCTGGGGCGCTCCGAGAGTCAGGATTTGTTCTCTTAACTCCCCAAACCGGCCACGGCTTGCTCCCTTCAGCGCCTGCCCAGGGTCCCCGAGCCGAGGGCGGGGGATGCGGGGTCTGCTGCGCCCGACTCGGCCCTAGGGCCGCGGAGAGGCGGCCGGCGCAGCCAAGCTCGGTGGCCGCTCGCGTCCCAGCAGACTCGGCCTCCGTCGTTCCCGTCCACCTACCCACAGGGCCTCTGAAGATGTCCCTCCCCGTCCCTTCTGTTCCACCCCCACCCCACGAGGGGAGCCCACTCTCAGGCGAAATTGGGGACAATTTCAGATGCTGCTTGCGGAGCGACTGAGCAAGCGACATAAACCGCACCACTGTGTGCCCGCGTGGACCTTTCACTTTGTATATTTCTCATTTCCCAAATCAGTATTGTTTTAATGTGTGCTATCACCTTCAACAAAAAGGAGCTGGGTAGGCTCAATAATTTAAATTGTGGACGGTGCAAAACCTTCTGAGTTTTTTTTATTTAGCCATCCCACCGTGACAACAAACCGACTAAGATGTTTTCCATTTTGCGAATACCATTTTAAATTGCTATATTTAATGCTACGGGTTCTTCAACGTCTTATTTGCAGACTATTTTGTGTTTGATTTAATCTATAACCGAAAACATAATGTATTAAGTGAATACATATTTGCTCAGCTGATAAGCTTTTTTAATATTTATTCGGAGAGCTTTTGCATTGTAAATAAACGGTACCTACACAAAGAGTTCTCTTTGTCTCTCAACTTCATACAAAGACGTTTGGGGCTCCCTCGCCTCTAGGGATCGCCAGTTCTCTCCCCCGGTCTAACAAACAACGCGGCTCAGGCCAGTACTGAGAGCTTCAGGCCCCGGGGCCGAGAAGCTCTGGGAGAGGGGCTGCCCGCGCGGGGGTCAGGGAGGGGCTGCCCGCACTGGGCTGGGGGTCTGCGGGCAGCTGTGAGGCGGGAGCCGGGGGGGGCACTGGGCGGGACAAAGGGAAGAAGGGGAGAGAGGTCGGGACCGGCGGCTTCAAAGGCACCGGGGGCTGCGCGAGCGAGGGTACGAGGCTCCCTGCGGCCTCCGGGAGTCCTGTGCACTAGGCTTTTGTTTTGTGGGGGTTCCTTTTTCCAAGACAATTTCAAATTTGTCGAGAAAGCGCGAGCTGCTCGCGATTCTCGGGACGCGGGCTCGGCCACCAGCAGTTTTCATCTTCCACCTCCTGCGGCGGATCGCGGGGCCAGACTGATCTTTCCTCACACGCCCGCTAGACTTTTTACTTGGGCAAAGGTGGACCGTGCCGTCCCTGCCGCTGCGATTCTTACCGGGTCGGAGGGGCTTTGGTTTTGGTTCTTCGCTCCCGGGAAGAGGCCAAGCACCTCCTCGTCCGCCCGGGCCTGCGAAGGCCGAGCCGGCAGGGAGCTGGCGGGGGTGCACGTCCGCCGCGGCCTGGGCCCAGCGCTCCGGAGAGCAGGCGCCACCTCCCACGAGCCCCAGGGCTCGGAGCCCCCTCCTCCCCGCAGGCCGGGGGACGCCGCAGCAGAGGGCCGTGCGCAACCCCGGGCCCAGCCAGTCTAAGAGGAAACGGAGCAAAAGCGGCGGCGGGTAGGAGGCTCCGCGCCAGCCAGAGGATCGCTGACAAGGGCATTTTGGAAAGAACCGAAAGAGCACGCCAGGCTCCTCCCCGGGGTGGCGAGACGTGGTCCCTGGAGCCCTCGTCCCTCGTGGCGTGACCCGCGCGCTCCTGGATGTGGGGCTCCTTCAGATTTGCTTTGTTTTTAACCTGTGCACCCCAAAAGCCCACACTCGCTTCGGCCGCCCGCCGAGGAGGGGGACCCCTTCTTGTCCGCCAGCCCAGGCGCCGTCTCCTAGCTCATGGGCGCCGTGGGGCCTCCCTGCAGGCTGGGCTGGAGCCAGACGCACACCGGGGCGCGGGCAACTGGGGCGCCACCGCAGAACCCGCTCCCTGCGAAACGGCTGCGCCCGCCCCCTTCCCCCCCCTCTGAGAGAGGACTTAGGCCCGTCCCGCGCCGGACCCCCGCTCCCTAGGGCCCACCGCCCTGAGACCCCGCCAAGCAGGCCATGGCCTGAGCCCCGCGCGCTGCCCCGACGCTGGCGGTGAAAAAGCCCTGCTGCGCCGGCCTCGCTCGGCCCCCTCCTCCACTCTCACTCCCACACACCAGAAAATTTTTTGAAATGTTCTGCAACGAATTAGGCTCTGGAAAGCGAAAACCCAAGAACTCCCCATTACTCCTCTGCGCCCCGACCCCTAGCCCAGCTCTCAGCCGGCAGCCGAAAAGCCCCTGTGGTTGGCGGCCTGGGCCGCCTCGGCTACCACCAGCCGGCCGGTTCCCTGAGCCGCGAAGCCACCGGGCGGGGCCGGCTGGGCTGCCCAGGGGAGGAGGCGGAATGGGGATGGGGTGGGGGTGGGGGCAAACAATTGGGGCTCTTTCCCCGTGCGGCCGGAGCCGGGCGCGCGTTGGCCGCGTCCGGGACCTCGCCGGCTGACCGCTCGTAGCCGCCCGCGCGGCTAGCGCCGGGCGCAGCCCGAGAATCCCTACCCGATCGCGATTATTTATTTTTAATGCTGGGTGTCGATCGAGACAACAAGCGCTCAGAGCAAAGCAAGGGACGCATTACGGGGGGAATTTTAAATCAATCGATATTTTTTTTCAGAGGAAAAAAACCGCTTATAAATAGTCCATCTTAAAAAAAAAATGCCTGCTCGACATTATAACGGAATTTTTTAAAGGGAAGATACATATTTCTTAACATCACAACCCTGAATTCCTCTGGCTAAAAAAAAAATGTAAATCCCCAAAGCCAAAATAGAAAATAAAATAATAATAAAAATACAAAAAAAAAAAAAAAGAAAGCAATTTCAGTTACTTACTGGAGGCTGTTTCCTGGATACAATTGAATGCAATACAATTAAATCAGTAAATGTGACTTTGTTTTGTATTCCTATTGGTATTTTCAATGTGCTGACTGTTGCACTGTAAATGCACCGCTTCCACAACAACGAGTCTAGCGAGCCCATCCAGAGCGGCTCTCAAACCTGCAGCCCGGCGCGGCGAGCCACGGGCCCTGCATACTAATAAGCTCGTGCCACTCAGCCCGGAGCAGTGCGCGCGCTGATTGGCCGCGCGGCCCTCTGCGGCCGGGAGCTCGTGCCACTCATTCGGCGTAAACAGGCCTCCCAATAGGCTGGCGCGGGGCCAGGGAGCTGCCAATCAGGGAGCAGCAGGGCTACTACCGAGCCTGGTGGCGCCTAATTCAAGCCTGGCGACTGCGCAGCTCCTCTGCGCAGATCATTGCTGCTGAATGGGAATGTGGTGGCGCAGGGCGGGAGAGCGAGTGGGAGCGCGTGTCCGCGCGGAGGGGGAGTTTTTTTTTTTTTAAATCCAGCAGGCCTAACGTTTAGCTTCTGGTGTACAGAGGCAAGGAGAAGAAACTGCAGTACCCGTTAAAGCAGATGCTTTTAAAATATACCTCGGATCTGTCTGGCAGGTGGCTGAAACCGAGCAGGTAGGCCCTAGCTCTAAGCCCAGAGGCCTCCTCAGGTTGCCCCATCCTTCTGCCACTCCCGAGGCTCCACCTGCACGTACCGAGCTCGGAAATACTCTCATGCCCACGGCATGGGCAGCACAAGCTTCAGAGTCTCCTGCCTGGTCCTCTCTTCTCCCTGCACTGCGAATCAGACCCCAGGAAGACGGGACCTGCGTCTCTGGCCATCTATCTGCCCACGCTCAGTTTTAATCTCCCTTGACTATCTTTTCCAACAGAGCACAAATCAAAATGAAAGTCTGGCATTTATGGCCAAGACAGAGATTGCCCTTTTTCATCTGCAACTAGATTTTTTGATACGCATGGTGCGATAACCTTGCACAGTATCTCTCAGTGCCAGTCTCCTGGACATCCGTTAAATTCTCTCCCTAATTAAAAAGAGCCACTGAACGATTATCTTCATCATAATCAGATGCAAACCACTTTTAAAAATATTCTCCAAATGAACATTTCTGTCAGAATTTGGTTTCCCAACAAAATGCTATTTATTCTCAGGTAGTCAAGGTGATGTCGAGGCGATGGATACATCTTTATTCCTTTTTTTCCATGTGAATCTCTGCCTCCCCCAGAGGGGGACCAAAAAAAGGATATTTACACTAGCCCACCAACTCATCCACACGGGTTAGAAAATCTTCACGGGCTCGTTCCGGTAGGGACCCGAAGGGGTTAAACCTGAAGCCTGCCGCTGTCTCCTTCCTTTCTCCGCCCCCCCCCGCCCGCTCCAGCGGGACCGCCGGGATTGGCTGGCACTCCGCCAGCAGGCTGTCAATCACCGAGTGTAAACAAGGCGCTGATTGGCTGTTGTCCAGTCCGCACAGGGTCTCCAGAAAAAAGCAATTACTGGCTCCGCTGTTTCAAGGCGGCCCAAGGCCGCTTGATGAAAGGAGATAAGCTGGGGACCGTTTCCAGGACCCCCGCAGGCCGACCCCGGCAGCCCGGGAGCCGAGGTGCGGCGGAGAGACCGCGGATCAAAGGAATCCAGAGAGAAAGGGGAAGCGGGCGCACTGCCCGGGCGGCCCTGCCTCGCGGGCGTCTCTGACTTGGGGTGGGGGCTCGGGCCGCGGGCGGGGGTTCCGGGATTGGGTGCCCACTACGGGCGGCGCGGCCGGCGGGGCAGCTCCCGAGAGCCCGGGGCTGGCAGGTAAGCGCCGGGGCTCCGCGGGGCCGGGGGCTCAGAACAAGGCTCGAGGATCCGAGACCCGGTTCCGGCGACGTTCCCAGCCGGCTGCGGCTTCCCCCCATCCCAGGCCCCGCGGCCGGAGCCCCAGGCCAGTCCCGAGGCGGGCGGCACGCGGCGGCCGCGGGAGAAGAGGTGGTGTGCATAAATCCAAACAGCGCCCGGAGATCCGATTAGCGCGAGGCTATTCATTAGGCCGCAGGCGATTGAATTAGGTCCCCGGCGCGGGCCGGGGAGCGGGGTGCGCTGGGCGCGGCCGCTAGGGGTGGGAGTGAGGGCGTCCAGCGCGGACCACCAGGATCGGGCTGTGGCTTCCGGAGGATGGAGTCGCAGCAGCCGCCCTGGAGTGTGTTGGGGAGGACTGGGTTTCCCGGATCCCGGCCCCGCGGGTGTGTGCGGAGGCCGCCCGCTTCCCACGCACAAGGGGAAAGCCAGCAGATCCAGCCCGGCTCCGGAGAAATCGTGCCAGCGGAGGGGTGGGCGGGCCAGGCAGCCGCCGGCTTGGACTCCGGGATCCTGCTCGGGCCTTGCGGCGGGGGCGGGGCGGGGCTGGGAGCGGCTGGCCGCGCGGCCTCCGAGAGCGTCGGGCTCGCGCTGCCTCCCCGGCTCCGTTGGCCTGGCGCACAGGCGCTGCCGACCGGTGCATCCGGGGCCCAGCCCGCTTCTCGCAGTCTCGGCTCCGCTCTCCAGCCGGGGCCTGCCGCCCTCGGAGTGCGGGAGTCTC